TATCATGTCCACTGCAGCCTCGACCTGCTGGGCTCAGACAATCTTTCCACCTCAGCCTTCCAAGTAAGTGGAACCACAAACACGAGCCACCATGCCTGGCTAATCCCTTTTTTTTTAAATTGTAGAGATGAAGTCTTGCTAAGTTGTCTAGACTGGTCTCAAACTCCTGTACTCAAGCTTCTCATCTCTGCCTCCCAAAGTGCTAGGATTACAGGCATGAGGTATGGCACTCGGCCATGATGTAATTATTTTTTTTTTTTTAAGATTAGAAAATATCGTTTAGAAAGCAAATTTGAGGGAGAGAGAGAGAGAGAGGAGAGTCACCTCCCCAAGGTAGGGAAGGGGGCCAAAGCTTAAGAAAACATGGCCTGGCCATAGCTCAAAGAGCACATGGCCACACCATAGCTTAGCAAGGCAATGGCTGCAATGGCCTGGCGAAGGTGGCCGTTTGCTTGTAGTTGAGTCCTTTGAATCCTTCCCTTTAAAAAATTTATATTTTATTTTAAAGATGTGGGGTACAATTCAGGATTAGGTATACAAGTGACATCGTACAGGCAAAGTTTGGGCCTCTCTTTCGTCCCCACTTTGTCTGGTTTAAGATCAGGTACCCTTATTGATGTTATGTGCCCCCTGCACTCTGGCAATATCCTGCTACTGCCAACCCCTTAGTGATGTAATTTTTAAGTCCCCTTTCACTTGCAAAAAATGTCCAGGTTTGGATGACAAATTATATGGTCACTCTGCCCGTCGGCTTCAGATGAGGGCGGGGGCTACACCTGTCTGGTGCCTAGCATAACAGTAAGGTCTAAATAAATAACTGCTGAATGGACAGTCTAGTCCATACAGAACTTTTATGTGAATTTGTTATGAAGTAGGGATCTATCTTTTTATGTCTTCTAGCTGACCCAGTGCCATAAATTATCATCGTTATCTGTTACACACCAATCTGAAATACTGCCTCAATCATATACGAAAGTTCAATATCTATAGATCTGTTCTAGGATTCGATTTGGACTATTTGTTCTGCATGCACATAAATTTGTTTAGCTTACGGAATCAATATTTGAATCATGAATTATTTATATTATCTGTTAATAGAACACATCTATGGAATATTTTTCTTACTTGAGGTCCTGTTCCAGAGGGCAGCAGTATCAGCAGCAGTGGGAGTGGGCCATTCATGCATCCGTCAGCAAAGTACTAGTGTTCCACGTCCTGGTCCTCACTCGGCCCTCAGTCAGCGCCATCATTCGCGCTTGCACCCTCAGCCCCACAGAACTGCAGCTTTGTAGCCTTTGACCAACATCGCCCCGTTTCCTCCACCTCCACACCTGATACATGAAACAATTTTAACGTTCTAAATCCCAGGATAAAAACCATCTTCCCATAAGAGACCATGGGGTTTCGGCTCTGTAGGAAAGCATTATCTAATAGCCAAATCTGTTCAGAAATAAATCATTTCTTCCTCCGTTGCTTGGGTTGGTCTCGAACTCTCAGCCTCAAGCAATCCTCCTGCCTCAGCCTCCCAAAGTGCTGGCATTACAGGTGTGAGCCACAACACCCAGCTCTGTGCCTACAATTTAAAGTATCAAAGCACGTACCCACTGCACTACCGCCTGGGCGATGGAGTGAGGCTCCAACTAAAAAAATAAATAAATAATCAAAGCAAAGACTGTCAGATCTCCAACTCAGGAGGCCACTGGGGGGATTTAATCTTTATGCAGCATCAGCAGTCAGCAAGAAATTAGTATAGGGTAAATTTAAATTTCTGCTTTCATTTGGCAAAACAAATCTAGTTCATTTTCCTTCCATTATATTCATACAGTAACTCATTGTGCAAGTTTTGTTTATTTTGGTTTTTTTGAGTTGGAGTCTCACTCCGTCGCCCAAACTGGAGTGTAGTAACACTCCCACCACTGCAGCCTCGACCTGCTGGGCTCTGGCAATCCTTCCGCCTCAGCCCTCCAAGTAGCTGGAACTACAGGTGTGCGCTACCACGCCCAGCTAATTTGTTTTTTTTTTTGGATTTATTGTAGAGACAAGGTCTCACACCAAGTTGCCCGGGTGGGTCTCGAACCCCTGGGCTCGGGCAATCCACTCACCTCGGCCTCCCAAAGTGCTGAGATTACAGGCAGAGCCACCGAGCCCGGCCTCATTGTACAAGTTTTTAATTTTCGCTCACTTTATTTTATAGAAGTGCTAAGGTAGACCAGCAGTTCTCAAAGTGTGGTCCACAGATTCTCAGATCCCAGGACCCTGAGGGAGTTCTGTGATGTCACAACTACTTTCATAATGACAGGAAGACATTATTTATTATTTGCCTTTGGAACTGTGTTGCTATTTGGACTAAAGCAACAGTATATGAAACCACTGACGTCTCAGCCAAACTGAGGCAGCTGTACCCAACTGTACTAGTGATCATTGCACTCTCCACTGCCAAGTTCTCATGGTTAAAAAACAAAAACAAGTCAAATTAGCCAGGCATGATGTGCACTTGAAGTCCCAGCTACTTGGGAAACTAGCTGGAGGATGCTTGACTCCTGGAATTCGAGGCTGCAGTGAACTAAAATTGTGCCACTGTACTCCAGCCTTGGCAACTTCACTTAAAAAATGTTCTTGAAAAAGCAGTAATCACTGACTTTATTAGCTCTCTACCCTGAGCCCACATCTTTCTAATATTCCATGTAACAAAATTGGAAAATACATAAAATGCTTTTGTTGCATACCAAAGTAGTGATTGGAGACAAGCCCTTGACTGAGTTGCAAGCCACACTAACAGCTTTTTCCATAGAATGTCATTTTTCCTTGAAAAAATACCTGACAAACTATGGTCATTCATATGTAGCTTTTTGGCAGGCACTTCTTTGAATATAAATAAAGCATGTCAATTTAAGGAAAACTAACAATGTTTATTGCTCAATGATAAAGGTTGCACTTTCCCATGAATATCAGAAGTTTTGCAAACTTGTATGTCATCCAGACTAAACAGCCTGCCACCACTTAAGATATTTCTGATGAGACCGGTGGTGATATTAATAAGCGTGAATTTTTGATACTATATAATGAAATGTGTCAACATTTGCAAGATCTGTGTACTTTAGTGAAGCAATATTTTCCAAATGATCAATGCATGGAGTTACAAAATTATTCACTGGTAAAAGATCCATTCAAAGTGCAAAATAGAAAAATAAATTTTAGTGTAATCAAATTAGGAAAAGTTCTTAAAAGTTAATTGATAGTTTCAGATTCCACAAGAAGGCAACTAACCTTTTGTCATGTTTGGTGTGGAATTAAAGAATAATACCCACAATTATCTGAACACCTATAAAAACTCACTATTTTCTACTATATATTTGTGTAAAGTCAGATTTTCTTCAACAACAAAAAACGAAAAACACAGATCCAAACATACTGAGTATAGACGCAGCTATTAAATTCTAGCTATCTTCTATTAACCTATCCATTGAGATTTGCAAAAATATAATGTACTTAAAAAAGTTTTTTTGGCCGGGTCTCAGTGGCTCAGCCTGTAATCCCAGTACTTTGGGAGGCCGAAGTGTGTGGATTGCCTGAGCCCAGAGGTTTAAGACCAGCTGGGTAACTTGGCGAGATCACGTCTCTACAAGAAATCAAAAATAGGCCAGGCATGGTAGCACGCGCCTGTAGTTTCTGCTACTTGGAAGGCTGAAGCAGAAGGATCACTGGAGCCCAGCAGGTCGACACTGGAGTGGCCGTGAGCATGCACTTCAGTCTGGGTGATGGAGTGAGACTTAAAAAAAATTTTTTTTTTAGTTTTGGAAACAATTTTGGGTTTACTGATAACTATTCTTTAAAATTATTTTCATTTCTGGCCATTGCCATATCTTCTTAAGCTTTGGCCCCCTCCCCTATCTTGGGGAGGTGAATCTCTTCTTTCCAATTGACTTTCTAAATTAACTGTATTTTCTAATATAAAAAATTTTCAATTCTAATATGGTATCAACAGATATCTCACATAAACAAAAGCTCTCAAAGTAATTCAGGAATCCAAAGAGGTACTATGACCAAAAAGTTTGGAAATGCTGTGTAAATCAAGTGATATTGGTCCTGGCACACCACACGAACTCACTTAAGTGTGTGCGGACTGATTTCATGGATAGGTAAGTGTGAATCAGCAAGAGGAATTGGGAACTGCCCACATGCCATAGTTCAGACAATTCATCTACTTGCTCAAAGTCCACCTATGATACTGGGCTTTTCCATGACCATCTACACTCTACTTAAAAAACAAGCAGTGTTAAGAACTACCCAAAGACTCATCCTACAACCTAGACAGTATGGAAAGGGTGTCAAGGAATTTTAGAAGGTTAATTCAGGAAGGGTAAAGTTTTAGTCAGATACTGATGGCTTTGAAGTGAATAGAGGTAGCACTTCTAAGAGCCCTCATGGCTGCTAGTAATTAAAAGGAAAAATACTAGGTGTTTTGGGAACTGTTAAGACACCTGAGAACATCATGTTAGTGTAAAAAGTGTTATTAAAAAGTCAGGAAACTAGTCATTAAGAAAAATGAAAAGGCAAGCTGAGTGAAAACATTCATGACAATTGTTTCTGACAAAGGACTCAGGCAGAATGTTTATAAAGGACTTCTACAAATCAATAATAGAAAGATAACCCAATTAAAAATGGACAAAATACTTGAGAACATTTCACAAAATAAGGTGTACACATGGCAAATAAGCGTATGAAAAGGTATGCTCAACTTGATTAAACATCAGAGAAATGCATATTAAAACCACAAGATGCCACTACACACCCACTAGAATGGCTAAAACTGAAGACTGACGGTATCAGATATCAGTGGGGATTCAGAGCACCTTGATCTCTCACTGGTTGCTGGTACAACTACTTTTAAGAACTGTCAGTTTCTAATCAAGTTAAACATGTACCTACTCTATGACCTAGTATTTGCACTCCATAGTATGCACCCAAGATAAATGAAAAAAATATGTCCACAAAAAAGGTTTGTATGTTCATAGCAGGTTTATTCACAATAGTCCCAAACTGGAAACAATAAAAATACTACTAACAAGAGAATGAATCAACAAATTTGTACAATATACTACTACTCAATAATAAATTACTACTCGGTACTGATATATGCAACATAGATGAATTTTAAAATTTATGTTGAGAAAAACAAGGCAAACACGAGAATATATACCATATAATTTCATTTACATGAAGCTCAAGACTAGGTACAACTAATGCATATAGTGATGGGAGTCAGTACAGTGGTTGCCCCTGGGGTATTGACCGGAAAGAGGCACAAGTGAACATTCCAGGGAAATGAAAATGTTTCACAACATTTTGAGTGGTTTGGGTGTGGGAGTTTACATTTGTCAGGATTCACCAGACTGCCTACGTAAGATCTGGGTGTTTTTACTGGATATAGATTATAACAATTAAAGCAAATTTGAGAAAGGTACTGATAAATGTTCTCTTAAACTGAATGATGGGTAGGTACATGGGTGGTGCTGTAAACATGCTGTATATGTCTCACATAAACAGCAACCTTTCTTTAGGTGAGAAAAAAGACGGCTAGCTAAAAGCTTTTTATTAGTAGTCAGATTTTTGGATATTGAATCCAGTTTTTTAAAAAAATTAAAAAACTTATCAATAGGATTAAATAAATGTGCTTCATACATTTGTTAGGTTCTTTGAGTAACTAATGCACCTAATAAAATGGAATTCCCCACGCAACCAAAGATTGTTTACAGGCTATTTTCTCTTATGGAGATACTGTTCATGTATAAAAAATTACATTATTTGTGATATTATATCGCATTTAATAACCGGAAAAACAATTTTTCTGGTTGTGCTTTTTGCTATATTATAGTAATACTTATAATTCAAGATTTTTAAAGCCATTTTAGTAATGGAATATTTAAACTTTATTCTATGAAACTTGGTTTTACTGACAGAAAATACTTTGAGTGACTATGTCTGTGGAGGTTTAAAAGAAAACTCCATTTCAGGTACAAAAAAGACTCCCAAGAAGCCACTAAAAGAATTATGAATGACAAGATATTTTTACCACTAGACTTCACACAAGCTTTTCCAAAGATTAGTATATCTTGTAATAATTTTTGTCTTAAATATTTAAAAATGATTTTTTTTAAAAAGTGGTGAAAATGCTTCCTTTAAACTTAAAAAGAGAAGACTGTTTCATGAGTTTTAAATAGTCAAGTTCCTCGATATAAAAATTTGGGTTTTTATGTGTCAAGGTATCAGAAATGGAATAAAAAATATTGCTAACTTTTTGGAAAAGAAAAACACATATTTAGCTCTGCACTCAATTCCTAAAAAAAACCGTTTAATTCTTAAGTCCTATTAAAATGAGCTTCATGGAGTCTTTGGGATTTTTACAGTTATGAAGTTTGTAGCATGTCTAACACAGGCACTGTTTTCTTGTGCTTTGCTTTATTGTGCTTCACAAATATTGTGTTTTTCACCAATTGAAGGTTTGTGGCAATCTTGCATTAACCAAGTCTATCAGCCTCATTTTTCCAACAGCATGTGCTTATTACTTCATTAGCATTCTTAGTAATATAGTGCTTCTGAATTAAGGTATGCACATTGTATTTTCAGACGTAACGCTTATTGCACACTTAACATACTATAGTGTAAACATAACTTTTATATGCACTGGGAAACAAAAAGTTTGTGTTGACATGCTTTCTTGTGATATTTGCTTTACTGCAGTGGTCTGGAATGCAACCTGCAATATCTGTGAGGTATGCCTGTATTTTAAAAAATTCATTTAGGAGACTTATTAGTGAACAGATTTGAACTTGAAAGGCTAGTTCTTCAGAGGCTGTTTTCCCAGGATGAATAATTTTGCAATTTTGTCAGCTGCCCAAGTAAACATTGGTGTTTGGCTTACAATCAAATAATGAGACTGGAAAATTACATAAAAAAAACATTTAACACACATTTCACTCTTATTTTTTTCTATAAAAATATAACTCTTTATTAAATAACATGCACAAATATCAACTAGTCATTTATTAAACAGATATGATTTAGAACAAGATTTAAAGAAATACAAATCCTTAGGTACAATTTAGTATCTTGTTCATGATAATCGAATAGTTTTTAAAAGAATCACTGATTAAAGTAACCACCCTTTATTTTTCTTTCAGAATCCAAAAACATTTTAGGCATATTTCCCATTCCAAGTTTTTTCTAGTATTTTAGAGCTTCAGAATATCTTTAACACCAAAAGCCCTTAACTACTTGATTATAAATTTCCAATAAAGAGGCATTAACTTTTAAGCTATTGTGATTAGCTTTGAGTCCCTTTACAGAGGAAATTTGTAGAAGCAGAATCATGGCAGAGAGGTTCCGGCTTTTTGAGGTACCATTGAAGAAGGTGAGAACTGTGGTTAAGACTAAAAAGCTGGGATGACTAAAATTTGCCAGAATCCTGCTTGCTTACCTTTCTCTTCTGACGCTTGTTCTGTTTGGCCACCACTGATATTCTGGCCCACCTTTGGTTGGACCACCAGAACAAAATGCTCTATAAACTTACCCCTCTCTGATTTTCTGTAACTTTAATGCACAATATTTTTTTTTAATTTTTAGGATTTGCTACACTATCCAATTTTCCTTTTTAAGCAAAAGTATAAACAAACTTTGCATTATGTTTTTCATATTAAAAAGTATTGCTTTTATAAATTAGCTTTTAATGTTCCCAGCCTTAATAAACTTAACTTCAACAAAACCAGTGCTTCAAAATCTACCCTGCCTTTCTGGCCCCATTTATCCAATAAAAAAGGCCAAAATCTTTCACCTAAATCTCTAAAGAAAACTACATCCAACCTAAAGCCCTTGCACTGTGTATGTTTTTTACACGTGCTGCTTTATTGCGCATGCCAAGTACAGTAAGAATTAAAATATAAATTGACGTAAAAATTCAAAAATCTCTAAGCTTAATATGTACCTTTGCACTAAAAAACTTGTACATTCTCTCCCATTAGCTGGGATTCCTAACTTGGAAGCTGAATTTACATCACTTCATTTCCCCATATGTTTGCTTCACTTTTCTCTGTTAGAATAGAAAGTATCCAATATTATAATTTAAGGAACTATTGTGGAAATGAATTTTATTTCAGATAATGCTTCTGACAAATTTTACACTAAAATCTAATTTTCCTTTTAAAAGTGTTTAGCAAGTTCTGCAGGAGGTTTCAGATCCGAAAAATTCCCGAATATTTAATTCACATCATGTTTTAATAGAAGTTTGACTTTTTCTAAGGATATTGCTAATTTTTTATTATAAAACAGTATATCAATTTTATTTCAACTATAAAATTTTGCAAATTATATGTTTGCATCTTAATACATGGAAAAATCACAATATATTAATTTTTCATGAACATTTCAGAGATCAACTGGAATGTTCCTAAATTTTTCTTATTTTGACTACCAAGTATCTTTTTGATTTGCCTACTCAGTTTTTATTTTAAAAGTGCAAAGGCTATTAAGCTTAAAACATTAAGTTTAAGCAATGTAAAAAAGTTTTACAATGATTTAACATGACCAATAAAATTTATTAAACATATTTACATATATTCACAGATTCTGTCATAGTTGAATATTAAAATAGACATTTACAATTTCAGAATTTTCATTCAAAGGCATTTTTTTTCCCAAGGAGAAATAGGCTCTACTGTGAGATGAAAAAGAGCTAAGTTTCTTTGTATGACTAATTCTAAATAATATGTCCAACACAGTAAGTCACAGGTTCTATCACAGGAGACTAGTATGAAATGCCTTACACTGCTCCAGGCATCCATTATGGAGAGAGTTAAATTATAGGAAGCATGCAATACAACTAAGTCACAATCATCACAGGTATGGTGATGAAAACAAGCTAACCCAAACACAGGCATGCCTTATCTAAAGGTGTTGCTACCTGAACACACTACTACTACACTCCGTACAAACTACAACTTTGGTCCAATAAAATATCAGACAAACAGTTTTACAACTATTTTCTTTGTACATGTTTTGACTACCAATCCCTTTGTATACATTTTTACCATTAATTACAAGATTTACATTTGCACAATATGTATAAAATAAGTTATTAAAAAGGAAGACAATATTAAAACTTTCAAAAAGAAAACTGTACAGTTAAATTTACAGATATAATAAACTGAAGAAATTTTGTGCCAAGTTTTTCTTCCACATTAGAAGCTATTTGGTAGGAACTGAACCTTTTAGTTTACTGATATATTTTTAATAAAACCTGAAAAAGATTTGAATACTAGTGGTTATCTCGTTACTTAGAGTGCTAACAACTTCCAGCGCTGCTAGCAGATTCTCAACTTTTAAATTATCTACCACAGTCAGCCAACATTCTCTAATGCAATAGTTACCTTTCCCAATATAAATAATAGTTTTCTGTTAGAAACTGTGTTTGGATCTAAGATCCAAAATAATTCTCTTCATTTTTTACAAAATGACAGTGTTTACTACATAACTAACTTTAATGGAACATCACTAACAATTGTAAAGGCATAATATCAATATTTTTGTCAAAAGGCAGTACTCCACAGTATAACGCTTGGACATCATCAGTTTAGGACAATCAGACCATCAGGAATAATGACTGCTAAATAGGAGTCAGTTCAAAATCATCATTAACATCAACAAGGGGAACATAAAACTCCTGGATTTCGTAAATGCTGATAGACTTATAGGTGGCAGGATCAAGTTCCTGGAGTTTGAGCTGCCATTCTAATCTCTGGACGGCATTTAAAGCCGCAGCTTCATGTTGCTGCCTCATTAAAAGACAGGTCTATTTAAAAGAAGAGAAGAGTTAACTGATTATTCTGTTAAATTGGCTTTGTTTAAAAACTAGCCTCACCCAGTCTCTTTGGGGACTAAGATGGATACATTTGGAGCATTAAAAAAGGGTTTGAATTACAAGTCAATTTCTGTTTGACCCTGCCTGTTTGTACCCATACATCAACTATTTCTGTGCCGCTTCACTTTCATAGTATAGATTTTAATTTGAAAATATTCTTTCAAATTATGAGATATCAAATTGTCAAAGGAATCAAGAAAATCTGGGAGAAATGACTGTTAAAATGATTCAAAATCTCAAATCTGATAAATATCTTCCTTCTTACTCAACCATTCTTTCATACGTTAGAGTTATAAACAGACAGGTAACACTGGATTAATAAGTATGAAGACCCACACTGGAAGCTGCTTTTTCTGTGATAGTTTCATCTTTTATACCACATTAGTACTTAAAATGGACTTGCGGTCTTTATTTCCCTTTATCTTTCCAATTGTGGTCTAGCGTGAAGATTCATGACTAACCAATATTTCTCTTCCTAATTTGACTAACCAATATTTCTTTTCCTAATTCTTTCTCCCTAACAGAGCTGTAGAGTTTCTGTTTAAGAACAGTTAAGTATTCATTTAGACTGACTTCTAAATATACATACCTTTAATTTGTCAAATTTATCATCCACATCTTGTAACCAAGACATGAACTGTCTTGCATTAAAGCGATCCCTCACAGAAGTTTTACTGTCATCAGACTGAAAAGAGAAATTAAAAGTAGTTGAGTATTATAAAGTGCAATAAACCGTTTTAAAGATTATTTACCATTGTAACACCTTTTTATGATATATGCCTCTATTTGAGTAATGATGAAAATGTATTCAAAAACGATAATATATAAATTGAGTATTGCGAAATTTGATAAAGCTTTTATTTCCATATCTGAGTAAACCGATTTTTTTTGAATTCTCGGCATGTTGAATTTAGTTATCTAAAATAGAATCCTACTTCTGAGTCAAAGATGTTTCTCAAAAAGGCATGTCATATGAAGTACTGTGCCTGTAACACTTTTTTTTTTTTTTTTTGAGTTGAAGTCTCACTCTGTTGCCCAGGCTGGAGTGCAGTGGCACACTCACGGCCACCCCAGCATCGACCTGCTGGGCTCTGGTGATCTTTCTATCTCAGCCTTCCAAGTAGCCGGAACTACAGGTGCACACTACCATGCCCAGCTAATTTTTTTATTTATTGTAAAGATGACGTCTCGCCAAGTTGCCCAGACTGGTCTTGAACCCATGGGCTCAGGCAATCCACTCACCTCGGCCTCCCAAAATGCTGGGATTATAAGCTGAGCCACTGAGCCCAGCCGACATTCTTACGTGTATAATCAATTCAGATTTTATTTTTATGTTAAAGTTCACTATATGTAGGGAGAAAAAGTGTTCAAGTGGGAGATAGCTACCTTTGAGGATGACATTTGACCCATCTTTGAAGTGCTTATAAAGAAATTCTAGATCAACTCTTAAGAAAACCAGCTTTGGATTTAAGATAGACTATATATTCAAAGTTCAGCTCTATACCTTACTGTATAACCTTGAACTAATTATTCACTCTAAAATGGGGTAAGAATACCTCGCACAATGCTTGGGAATGTAGGAAATAGTCAATGCAACACTAATTATTACTATAACTACTACTGCTAATATTAACAGCGTTAGTGACACCTAGGCATCAGGTAGCTCCACAATCACACTATTCACCTTTTCAGCAGCTATCACTTCTTTGCTAGTCCTCAAGTAAGATGTTTAACTATTTAAAATTTTATGGTTTTTTAATATTAGAAGTTTATTTTGAAAAAGAAGAAGCAATGATAAAGGCATAGCTAATGGACGATCTAAACCCCTACCCAAGGAAAGGTGAGTTTATTTCTCCCCTTAGTTCCTCAGAGGCTATTCTCATAATAAGTCTGCTACTTGAGATGCTCTACTGTAATCAGTTGTAAAATGATGGGTAACATTTCCATATATAAGTCAGTCCAGAAAAACACAAAAATGTTTTTAGGATAAGTTTCCCTATCAAGATAAAAGCCTCACATTTTGGCATCTCATCCAGTTTAATTTTTTTTTTCCAGACCAGAAGGTAACATACCAACATTGTAAGAAGGTTTGAGGATCTCACACATTAGTCTGAAAACCCAGTCATCATGCTTATGAACCACAAAAGCATCTCATCAAGCTTAATATTAAGCTAAAATCAGGAGGCCTGGAACACTAAGAAAACTTGGGACGGGGAAAATAAATTATTCAAGTTATCAAAATTTCTTTACAATTGAAAATGTAGGCCAAGCATGGTGGCTAACACTTGCAATCCCAGTACTTTAAGGGGTCGAGGCAGGCGGGCCACTTGAGGCCAGGAGACTGAGGCTGAAGTGAGCTATAAGTTGCCTGGGTAACTTAGTGGGACACTGTTTCTCCAAAGATAAAAAATAAAAATTTAAAAAATGATACTGTTCACTTTTAGGAGAGAACAAAAAAGCCATGTCTTCGGTAGAAAGATAAGAAAATGAAATGTAAAGTAGCTTCAACTACATATGAAAACATTTTTTTCCTCAAGATAAAGTTTTTCAGTGCTTTAAAATAAATAAGCCAACAGTGGCCCTATTTTTTAAATTCTCTTTTTAACCCACATGAGGATCGGCATTCCTCAACTCTAGTGTATTTCATGACCAATAAGTTTTTATTTTTTGTTTTTTTTAAAGAGGCAGGGTCTTGCTAGGCTGCCCAGGCTGGTCTCAAACTCCTAGCTTCAAGCAATCCTCCCTCTTTGACCTCTCAACATGCTGGAATTACAGCTGTGAGCCTCCGCATCCAGGTCCAACATGTTTTTTATCTATTTTGTATCTTATCAGAAATTTTTTAATGTTCTGATTTAGTAGTTCCCCACCTCAATTTCCAGCTCTGCTGTGAATATTATTTTTATGTCTTTTGCCATTTCAGTGAGTTTTGTGAGAAAGAAGAAATAAACAGGTATGTGCATTTACTCACTCATTCTGAACTAGAACTCTTCAAGAGACTTCTCCTTGTAGCTTGACTACAAATCTCCATTTATACTGCTCTAAAATTTATTTCATTACTCTATAACTGCTCAAAACTTTAAAAGACCTCAGAGAGACATCACATTGTCTAGTTCACCCTCTAGGAACACAGTTAAACTGTTACTTTCAGTTATTAAAAATCATTCATTCTTCCCTTTAAAATCTTTTACTTTTTTAGTTAGGGGTCTCACTCTGTCACCCAGGATAGAGTGCAGTGGCACACTCATGGCTCACTGCAGCCTCTACCTCGTAGGCTCAGACAATCCTTCCGCCTCAGTCTCCTGAGTAGCTGGATCTACAGCTGCGCGCTGCTGCGCGCCACTACACTCAGCTAATCTTTTGATCTTTTGTAGAGACAAGGTCTCACTATTTTGCCTAGGCTGGTCTTGAACTTGTGGGCTCAAGCAATCCTCCTGCTTCAGCCTCCCAAAGTGCTGGGATTACAGGCATGAGCCACTGTGCCCGACCCTTTGAAATCTTTACATTTAAAAGTTCTAGAGTCCTTTAGTGGCCTCTCCAGTGTCTATTTCCTCAGTCACATGATTATTTCTTAAGATCCAATTATTATTATTATTTTTATTGAACTGGGGTCCACTCTGTTGCTCAAGATGAAGTGCAGAATTGGGATCACAGCTCATTGCAGCCTCTACCTCCTGGCACCAGGTGATCCTTCTGCCTCAGCCTCCTGAGTAGTTGAAATCAGGGACATGCACCACCACACCCGGCTAATTTTTTTTTGCAGAGATGAGTGAGGTCTTGCTATGTTGCCCTAGGATGGTCTTGAACTCCTGAGCTCAAGCAATCCTCCTGCCTCATCCTCCCAATGTGCTGGGGGCATGAACCACCACACCTGGCCCAATTATTCATTCTAAATAGCCTCTTCAGGTATCTGTGAACATATTCATCTCAAATAAAAGTTGGTGCCTTAAAGTTTAAAATCTACTGGCCTAGTTCAATCTCCACTTTTTATAGATGAGAAAAGTAAAGCCCAGAGGATTCTAAGAATCTTTCTCTGTAACATTCCCTATTATTATTTGTGTTACTGGTCTGTCTGCTTTAAAACAGTATTTTCTGTTTTGGGGTGACAATTCTTCACTGTGTTTATTTTTTGAATTTTAATCATTATAATCCTTTGCTTCTGACTAATGAATTCATTCTGGTTTATGAGGCATAAAAAAATTCTGACAACTGATGCAGTAGGTTCAGAATTCATGTCATTTATATGTGGCAGTAAACTCCATAAAAAATATTGCTCCAGGGCAACCTCTTCAGGTCCCCTCCCATTGTGGGAACTTTCTGTCCTCTCAATAAATTGTGCTTTCTAAAAAAAGAAGAAAGAAAGAATTTGCTCCAGTCTTTCCACAGTTAATGTATCTAACCAACACTGAAGGCCGAAACAGGAGGCCACAGTTAATGTATCTAACCAACACTGAAGGCCAGAAACAGGAGCCACAGTTAATGTATCTAACCAACACTGAAGGCCGAAACAGGAGTCTGACTCGATTTTAGCAACATCACAACCTAGAGGTGCTTGCTACCTACCCGCACTATTTTTCAGCACACAGTTGTGTGCCAGTTGTTTGAAGGTGAGAACTAAATATAGAGACATTCACTTTAGAAACAAATTACACGTTACCTGTAAAAGCACTATCCTAAACACATATGTGTTTTGTGATTATCTGTGCATTTCAGAAATTGAAGGACTAGCTGATCTGGAAGTTCTTTGGCCTGAAAGCATTGCTTTTGTCCTTTGAACTTTAATGATCGTTGAATTCAAATTTCTTCCATGAAAATCTATTCTAAAAATAACCAACTTGTACTTTTGAGAGGGTTCATTCTACATGAATCAAACATTTTACCTGAGAGTCCAATGGTACATTGTATACTTCTGCATCCAGCAAAACAGTACAAGCACTAAATGGCAGTGTTTGATTTGCCAGTGTTCTTGCAGCTCTGTAATGAACGCGTAGAACTTCCTGCTCATTGGATACAATAAGTTTTTCCTAGTTGAACAAAGAATTTTAAAAAAATGAATTCTTCAACAAATTGTTTTTGAAATATGGTAAAATAACTTATATGCTAACAAACATGAACCTCAGAGTAGCTTTTTAAAACTTAATATTAGGGTTGAGAAATGTGAGAACGTCTAGTGTTTCTAAAGTATAAATAAATGTTCTTTCCCAAACTGGCAGCTTTTAAAAAATTAGATTTTAAAGTACAGTGGTAAACAATAGTGGCTTTTAGCGTATCTATCAAGATGTTTCACCATCACTAATTCTAGAACATTTTCATCACTCCAAAAGAAATCCTGTACCCATTAACAGTCACTCTCCATCCTCCCCTTCCTCTATCTCCTGGCAACAACTAATCTGTCTTCTGGCTCTATGAATTACTAACCCGAACATTAATGGTGAATGAAACCATACAATAGGGGGCCTTTCATGACTAGCTTCATTCACTTAGCATGATTTCAAAGTTTATCCATGTTGTTGCATGCATAATACTTTAATTCTATTTTATGGCTGAATAACATTCCACTGCATGGATATATTTCATTTTATTTATCATTCACCAGTTGATGGACATTTGGGTTTGAAGGGAAATAGAAGATGCCACCCCCAAAATATGCCACTTTAGCATAAGGATTATTTTGAGCTAAAGGCACTTGAAATGCAGCAGGTGCAAGAGTGCTGACCTCCCCTTTTCTTCCTGAAAGGAGGAGATCAAACTCCCATGTGAAAGATGCCCTTCCCGTACTAGAAGGAAAGAAATATTTTTATCACCAGAGACAGGAAGTCAAGGCCTGCCTGTACAAACAGCACTTATTAGAGTAACTTTCGTCTTCTGTGAGCCTCCCCATATATTTTAGTTAATTTTCCACAATTGCCTTTCTTTCTTCAACCTATCATAAAAAAAATTTAGATTTTGTCACTTCTTTGGTTTCCCATTTCCTTATGACGGCCCCCGTGTCATGTAAACTTATATTAAATAAATCTGTACATTTTCCTCTTGCTAATTTATCTTTGACAATTTAATTCTCAAGCCCAGATGGAGACCTTAACTTATTCGCGACCAATGACATGAATTTACGGCATTCCAAATTCTGTTCCTGGTTGCTGCTAATGTGAATTTACCTCATCGTGGAAGACTGTCTTTTGGGTTTATAATACAAATAAAAATACAAAGTATAGAATGTTAGAGTGGTGTGTTGAGGCAAATACTGGATATGTCTACAATTTTCAGACACGTTGGGAAAAAGGTGACAATTTAGAAAAGACCGTTTCATTTGTGCTTAACAACAGAAGTCTGAGGCAACCAGGTTCAGAAGTCTGAGGCAACCAGGTTCAGATTTTTTTAATTTTTACTCACTCTCAGGATTAGGAAGGCGAAAAATTTGCCAGTCGTGAATGTGTTTAACACGGTAGAGGTAATTCTTGCCTTTCCTATGTGTTGTTTTCACTTTTGGGATAATATAAAAAAATGTTGCTATAAACATGCACACTCAAGTTTTTGTCTGGGTGCATGTTTTCATTTCTCTTCGGAAAATAATTAGGAATGGGATCCTCGGTCATAGAGCAATTATCTTTAACTTGTTGAGGAAGTGCCAAACTGTTTCCCACCAGCAATGTTATGGTTCCAATTTCTTCACATTCTAGCCAATACTTGTTATGTCTGTCTTTTTTATTATAGCGGTATGAAGTGGTATCTCCTTGTGGTGGCAGCTTCTCTTTTATAATAAATATTTTCATAGAAATAAACGTACTTTACATCGATGCCATCTACTTGCAAACCTCTGACAATCACAATAAAATCCTGCCTTAATGCATTAAGTGGGGTCCAAAACTTCTAATTATTTGAGATGCAGAGTCACTCAACCATACAGTTATGAATCCTATGAATTTTATTTTATTCACTGAAAACCTTCCAAGAAGAGGTTCCAAATTTCCCACACTGTTACAGGGGTACACAATACAGAAAGGCAGAGAACTCTGCCAGGGCAATGGATCATGTATGAATCAAATAAATTACATACAAGATCTTGTTTGCATATGAATATGTTTGTATCTCTGCAAAGAAGGATCATAGCTTATACCACATTTTCAGAGGTCCCTGACCCTCCCAAAGGATTAAGAAAGTCATATATTTTTGTGATTCCAAGTGAAATGCCTTCTATGATTTCTATAAATAGCTAGATAGGTTTTTTTCCCTGTCATTTCATGACAAGACCAACCACTGGGAAACCAGATACTAAGGAGACCTCGCAGGTCAAATAAGAACAACCTCTGTAAGTATTTTGTCCTTTAGCCCTAAAATAGTGGGTACCAAGCAACTGATTTCACAATGGGGAAATCCAAATGTCCCACGACAAATCCACTGCTATGGTCTTAGAGATAAAAAATTATTAGAGACTTTTATATATTAAAAATATCTTCAACATGAATTCTATTATGACAGCAACTATCCTAAAATAGGCTTAAAAATTCTCCATGTAATTGGATAAGCACAGGCTAGGCATGGTGACTCACACCTGTAATCCAGCACTTTGGAAGGCCAAGGCAAGAGGACAGTTTGAGCATAGGAGTTCAAGATCAGCCTAGGCAACACAGTGAGACCTTGTCTCTACAAAAAATTTAAAGATTAGCCAGGTGTGGTGGTGTGCACCTTTAATCCTAGCTACTCAGGAGGCTGAGGTGGAAGGACTGCCTGAGCCCAGGAGGTCGAGGCTGTAGTGAGTCATGAGTGTGTCTCTGTATTCCAGCCTGGGTGACAGAGTGAAACTCCAACTCCAAAACAACAACAACTACCCCCCGCAAAAAAAACTCCAAAAACTGAATTAGCACAAGAAAAAAATCAAACCATTTCCCAAAATGATTCTAAATATTGTTAAAATACAGTTATTTTTTAGTGTAAGTGTAAATTTAAATACCTCTTACCCTTTCAATACTGTGTTGCAAACGTAGTTTCATTCTTACAACTTCCTGTTGCCGAAAAAGTTCTTTAAGTGGATCTGACAGTGAAGGCGGTGGTGTAATCTAATTGAAAAAAAATAGTTAAAAACATCAGGTTTCTTTTACAATAGTGGGCTATTCTTTTAAAAGTACATCTTTTCAGTGCTTAAATCAATTCTAATATTCTGTGAATTAAATAATATAGTATCAATTATACAACTGGATGTTACTTTTCAATTTTGTTTGAAACATAGGAGAGTATTCCTGCAAGCTTAAATATTTTTATTCGGAGGCCACAGCAAATTTCAAAGAGCAAATTAGAAGGACTAAGGAAGCTACTCACTATGGAGACACATTTTAGAACATCAATGACAGCTCACAGACAGGAAGGGAGAAGTAACAAAAAACAGAAAAGTTGGTATAAACACGGAGGAAACACTCCTAAAGATTAAAGCAGTCCAAATGTATCAGTATATATACATATTGCAGACATGATATAAATTAAACACTAAGGTCCTGAGTGTTGTATTTAGTGAATTATTTTATAAAAGTAGATTAAAGGGTCTAATTTGTGGTTCTCACATTTCTTTATTACATGCGATATCCCACATGACTTTGTTTAGCCATACTCCAAAAAGCTTATGAACATCTCTAATTCGACATTATACTGGACTGTACTTTCTGGTAGATGCTGGAAGAATGCTGACTCGATCTCTGCATGCAGTTTACTGTTAAAATAGACATCCAAGCAATGGTAATAGCCATCTCTGTCCCTTGGAGTATCTACATTCCCACTCTCCCATCCTTATTTACAACTGCTATCAGCATATGCGGGCAAAAATATCTCAGTATGTTTTTATTTAACAAGACTTGCAGAGAGTGGTGCTATTGTTTTAGTTCTGCAAAATCATACAGGCCTCTAGCTAATTCAAGCACAGAGGAAAAGAAGTAGTCTGATCTGAGACTGAGGTGTCAGAGAAAGCTTCCTCAAGAGAGTAGTACCTGAGCTGCACCTTAAAGGGAGAGCCAGAGTAGAGTCAGAGAAATTAGTCACTGTGAGGAGAAAGGGGGAAAAAAAAGGAAAGAAAGGAGGGAGGCAATTCCCAGAAGATAGGATGGCATGATCAAAGTCATAAAATGAAGAGTACATCATCTGCAGACAACCACAAGCAGTCTTAAGTTCCTACAACATCAGATTTGACAAAAAGAAGCTTGTAGTTTAATCTAGAAATGTGTTTTTAATAAAAAGTATGTTCTATAGAAGATTAGGCCCACAAAGAAGATTTACAGGAAATGGTTCCAAAAACAAGTTTGGAAAACAACGTATACATGTACCTACTTAGAAGTCTCACAATTAACATATTAAAGGTTCTGATAAGTCCTACAGTGAAGCAACCTATTTTTAGATTAATATTTCTCAAACTAACTTAATAAAAGCCCCCCCAACACAAAAGGTATTTAATTAACATGCTGTGGAAGAGATATTATATAGAATACATTGGAGAGTTTGGTAATAGACCAAAAGAGGACAGAGAGAAGTTTTGGTTGAGTTCAGAGCTGACCTAAGTTTGTGAAGCTTATGGACATTCAGGAAGAGCTACGCAGGTAGCAAAAAAAAAAAAAAGGAAGTCAGGGAGAGAGATTTGGGCAGAAATATAAACTTGGAAATTAACATAAATCACATGTAGAAAAGAGGTAAAATCACCAAATGGGTATATGAAGATTTTTTTCAATTAAAAAAAATTTTGTTCCAATACAAATTAACCCCTTAGAATATGGTGTAGTAGAAAATTTTTTTAATTACTTAAAAAAATGTTTTACATACTTTCTAACTAGCTTAACTTTGTAAGATGTTTTTCTCTTGTGATGTACCCTTAAAATTTTTCCTGCTTAATTTTTTGTTTTATAGCTGTGGGCTACATGTGAGGATTTACTACATAATTGCATGCAGGGAGGTATGGGCTTCTAGTGCATCCAATGTATATGCCCCTCTCTCCCTCCTTCCTCTAGCAGTGTCCAGCAACTGTGGTTCCCACCTTTGTGCTTGTGTGTCCAGTGATTAGGGCCCACTTATGAGTGAAAACATGTGGTATTCAGTTTTTTTCTGTGACAATTCACTTAGAATGATGGTCTCCAGCTGCATTATATGGAAACTTTTTGAGAAAACTTCCCTTTTGCTGTTTTCATCTACCTCTAAGTAAATCAAGTTTGGTTATTTTGTCAGTATCTGTTGAGTTTCAAGATCCTGGAACTTCCCAGAGATGTGCTCTCCTCTTATCACCCACTCTTGGAATCCCTCAAGACATCTGTAGAGTATGTTGTTACCAGTGGCCAGCCACAGTAGATCCTAGGTTGTGACAAGTCTCTTTTTTCCCCCTCCCTGTTCATTTGATTTTGGTGATATGACCAGCAGTTTTATTTTTCTTCCTTTGATTTCCTCTGGAAAAATGGCAAGCCTGGTTAAACTGTGAGAAAAATATGTAATGAAGAATAAACATTGAAATACACTCTGGTGTCATTTTCTTTTTAAACTACATTTCTGATGGGTTTTATAACCAGATCACATAAATGTAAGGAAAGGTTACTTTGATAAAATGGCAATTAGTTGGCTGGAAGGAAACAAATGGATAAAGCCATATAGGAAAGTAAGAAAATTAATGCAGTGCCTAACTCATTTAAGTTATTCTGGTATTAATTTTTTCCAACTAAATTTTGAACAAAAAAAAATTTGGCCCAGTAAACTCAAATGCAAAACTTTTCATGAAAAGACTGGAGTTCACATATTAGCTTTAATAAATACAAATTTTAAAGTCACTTGGAGCTGTGTAAAATAATGGTAATCCCTTAAATCTGTATAGTGTTCTAAAGTTTTTAATGTGCTTTAGCATATACCATTTCAATCTTCTTTGAGACAGGGTAGACACTATTCTCCCTTTACAGATGTGGAAACTAAGTATCAGAGATATGAGTGAATTATTCAAGATCACACAGCTGGTTTATCAGCAAAATCTAGACTTAAACTTATGCATGCTAATTGGAAATCTAGTGTTCTTTCCACTATATTGCGGTGTTTCTCTGCTTTCTTCATTCTCATTAAAAACGAAAAATTCAAAGACCTCCCTACTACATCCAGAAATATTGCTCAGCTTTGCTTATAGCCCCTTATGAAATGGTATTTGATACAACTAAATTCTAATATAATCAAAGACATATACCCAGCATTGCTTTAAGGGACTCAAACTTGTATTACACTGCCTTTGCAGGAATAAGAAAAGGTGACAGATAGCACATGTATGACATATATATGTATATATATGTATATACGTATGTATACATGCATATATGTGAGTATGTATACAACACACATGCACTCATACAGTCTATATATGTAACAAATATAAAGGCAATATTAAAAAACATATATAAAGTCAACAGACAGACTGTGTTAGGGTAGCAACCTAACAATTTATCTGAAATTGTTTTTACTAAAATAGTCTGTGTAAATTCTAATTTCAATGTATTCTTTATAGTTATACCTGTATTTCAAGCCTCTGAAAATACATTTGATTTCAAAGGGAAATAAAGCAGAGGGATAAAAGAAACAAGAAAGTTACCAGCTTTACATTCTTTGACTTATTAACAAACAATTTTGCTGAAAGACAACTTTATTTACAACTCTTATTTTTACTTTTGTTGAGACTGAGTTTCACTCTGCTGCCCAGGCTAGAGAGTAGTGGCACAATCACGACCCACCACAGCCTTGATCTCCTGGACTCAAGCAATTCTTTCGCCTCAGCCTCCAAAAGTAGCTGGGACTACAGGCATGCTTCACCATGCCGGGCTAATTTTTTTTTCTTTTTTTGTAAAACGAGGTCTCCCTATGTTGCCCAGGCTGATCTTGAACTGCTGACCTCAAGTAATCCTCCAGTCTCAGCCTCCCACACTGGGATTTCAGAAGTGAGCCACCACACGCAGCCATACTTTTTCTTTTTTGAGTTGGAGTCTCCCTCTGTCGCCCAGACTGGAGTGCAGTGGCTGCTCCCGGCCACCACAGCCTCGCCTGCTGGGCTCCGGCAATCCTTCCACCTCAGCCTTCCGAGTAGCCGGAATTACAGGCATGCGCTACCACACCCGGCTGATTTTTTAATTTATTGTAGAGATGAGGTCTCACTGCCCAGGCGGGTCTCGAACCCGCGGAC